TTTATGTGCCCTCTTTTAATACATCAACTCCCCCTCTCTCTCCCCTAACTAAGAAAACCGTTTTATGTGCCCTCTTTTAATACATCAACTCCCCCTCTCTCTCCCCTAACTAAGAAAACCTTTTTATAACCCCTCTTTTGATACATTATTTCATCTATTTTGCTCTCTTTCTATGACAAAATTTATTAAGTTTGGGAATGAGAGGTTGATGAATGGATGGATGGATGAACAAAAAACATACTCTAGAGATTTGTATGTCCCTTCAGTTTGAATATTCTCATTAAGGTCCTGTCCTGTCGTGTATCACATGTTCATGTTATTCCTAGATGAATACAAACCTCAACTGTTGCCGCGGTTTCGTAGTCTGTGTAGCGGCTGTAGCCAAACAAAAGAGCCGAGCGCAGCCCAGTGGTTAACGTGCCGGACTTTGGAGCTAAGGCTCGGTGGTTCGCGTCCCATTACCGCTAAAAAAACATCGTGTTCATAGATGCATTCTGAGATTGACGGTCAAATCTCACTATTCTATCTGACAAGACTATCCCAAGGGTTAGTTAGCAGTGGGTGGTGTTGATTAATTACCTTCCCTCTAGTCTACCACTTTATAACTAGGGACGGTTAGCGCAGATAGTTAGCCCTCGTCTAGCTTTGCACCAAATTCTACAAACATATAGTCATAAAAAAGCTGATTCACAAATTTTAATAAAGGTGAAACTCATTATATTTATTTACATCCTCGAATCAGTTTTATAATTATTTATTTTTAGTTTCGTCCACAAGGTGGTGCTTTTTTTTTCAGGCTCTCAGATGCAGTAATATTGAACGTGCTTGGTAATTAAATCGTTTACACTTGTCATACAAGTTTTAGTTGCTCAGCGGCAAGTCTGAGTGCTTATAACGCTAAAGGTCGAGTTTCGATACCCGTGGTGAGCACAGCACAGATAGACAATTGTGTCGCTTTGTGCTTAACAACAAACAAACATCAATGGTGTAGCAGATTTCATATTCCTTTCTACGCAATTATGTGTCAAGTCTGAAAAATTATAACATTAGATATATCTGGTTTCAGTACCTGCGGTGAGCAGAGCACAGATAGCCCATTATGTAGCTTTACGCTTAGTAACAAACAAACTGGTTCTATTATCATGTAACATTAAGTAATTGTTTAACTTTTATATTTTGTTTGTTTGCTTGTAATTGAGCACAAAGCTACACAATTGGCTATCTGTGCTCTGCCCACCACGGGTATCGAAACCTGGATTCTAGCGTTGTAAGTCCGCAGACTTACTTTTAGATCGAAAATCTAATTTGTGAATCTGTTAACCAATAAAATTCTCTGTAGATGTTTTCTTTTCAGTGTTGGAAATCTCTGTAGCCCTGCATTTCTTTTCTGGTTGTTTTTTTAAATAAAAAATACAGTACAATATTTGACAATTAATTAAAGAAAGTCTGAATATAATGGTTTTTGAAAGAAATTAATGATCATTATTTTTTGTTGTTGTTGTCTGTGTGTGTGTGTGTGTTAAAATATTTAATGACAAAGTACACAGCACCCGACTAGTTTCTACAAAATAAGAAGCTTATCGAGTAAACGTAATATATTTTTTGTTTTGTTTTGATAATCAATGTAGAACCGAGGGCGATTAGCTGATAAGAAGAACCTGGGGAAAACGACACAAAATGGGCAGGTGTCTCCCTCTGCCGGCCTGGAGAACAGCACAGACGAACAGGCACATAAACAGAAAAATGAAAATGACGGCTTACCTGCGGATGACTACACCAATAGTTTCAAGGGCTTAACAATTCTAGCCCAAAATATTAAGTCAAGCCACCAGAGGGCTCTGACGACAATGGACACAGTGCGTAAACAAGTTCGAGGGGGAAGGTAAATATCACACCACAATAGATTGTTAAATTTATTTTTGACACTGATGTTTTTTTACGTGATTACATAAAAAAACGACCTATTACCTTGCTTCATTTGAAAGGAGTTACCCCTGCCTATTTTTTTAAGTGTTTCTTGATGACCAACCAAAGAAGGAGCACTGATCTCTTTCAATATCTTTATTCAGTTATACATATATATATATATAAACATATGTATATCACCATTTTGCCACCCGCCCTTCCCGAAACGTTGAAAGTATAATTTTCCTTATTTCTGGAATTTCTTCCTTAAAAATGGGCAAATTTCTGGCCAATTCGAAATAACTGATCGCTGTTGACCAATCAATGAGAGCCTTTCAAATGATGTTGACTACGAAGCAGATAGTAACAAATTTGAATAGATTTTTTTCCCCTAAAGATTAGTACGTTTTATGAATATTATAATATATATATATATATGATAAACAGCAGCTTGTTACGACTAGTCGCTTGAAAATATATATTTTATTTTAATAGTCGTTTTTGTACAGTTACTTCTTGTTAGTTTACATATCCAAAAAAAATAATCATTATTGTAATAAGAAAAAAGTGGGTATTTGTTAGTTGTTTTTTTTTTACATTTTGGAACATTCTCTTGGTAAACACGTATGCTCGCTCTGTGCTACTGACACTTAGTGAGGACTTTGAACAGTTGATCATATTTTGAAAACGGACAACTACAATACTCAAAGTTACTGGTTAAACGGCTAAAGCATTAGAAATCGGTATGGCTGAAAGTTGTGGTAAATTGGAGATGAGCGGCAAGTCTGAGGGTTTAGGCTTATAATGCTAAAGATCGTGTTTCGGCACAGCACAAATTACCCATTGTGTGAGTTAGTGTTGAACAACACAAAATAAACAAATTTCTTATTTTTTCTTCACATTTCCTCGTGAATTGTATATTTCGGATTTCAAATAAGAGGTATATAAAAATAATATTTAATATCTACCTTTTTTTTTTTACTCCTACAAGTCACTGCCGAGAAAGCTTTTATCCTTCTCTATCAGACAGGTCAGCTAAGTTGTACAATGAACTATTCTATACCAGACAGGTCAGCTAAGCTGTACAATGAACCCTTCTACACCAGACAGGTCAGCTAAGCTGTACAATGAACTATTCTATACCAGACAGGTCAGCTAAGTTGTACAATGAACCATTCTATACCAGACAGGTC